TTTATAGTTTCTTTGCGTCTTCCCTTCCCTCTGGGCTGGCACCCCAGCATACCCATGGGCTGCCCTTCTCCTGCAGTCTTGGATATAATGTCACCAATAGCATGTGGGTTATGGCTTCCCAACTGCCTACCATGGAGCCAGTGACACAGCCTACAAGGTGGTGGGAGAGCAGGATCTAGCTCCCCATGGACTGAACATTCATCTCTTGACAAGGAGAGATAAAGGAACTAGTATTTTAATTTATTTCTTTTTTCTTCCCTCCTTGGATTGTTGATGGTTTCTTTTTGCAAACCTAGTAGAAGAGCCCCACATGCCTAGTGAATGTGCCTAGTCAACAACCTGCTGTATCTGCTATTCACTGTGGAGTAGGGCCTTTTTCTGTAAAGGGCTAGATGGTAAATATTTCTGTGAGCCGTGTGTTCTTTGTAACAACTACTTACCTCTGCCATTGTCATGCCACACATAATATATAACAAGTATGTCTGGGTTCCATTAAAGCTTTATTGATACTGAAGTTTGTCATAATTTTCATGTGTCACAAAATATTTTCCTTGACTATTTTTCAGCCATTGAAAAATGTAAGAACCATTTTTGGTTTGTGGGCCATATGAAATCAGGTAGTGGGCCAGATTTGGCCTGTGGGTTAGGCCTTAGTTTGCTTACCCCTGTGGTAAGGTGCTGTGTCTTATGCTTCATGTATTCCCTTGTCCCCCTTTCCCCTGCCTCTCACTGCCCTGGGCTGACATTTGCCAAGTAAAGTGTCAGGACTTAATCTATTGCTCAGGCTCTCCTTTTTAGGACAGTCTGTGTCTATATTTCTATCTTTTGCATCTGCTCTTGGTCTGTTTCTATTGTCTTCTATACATTTTTTTTTTCCATTTTTCTGTCACATTATCTTGCCTTATCCATTATTATTTTTGTTTGAGTTCCAGATAATTGTGTATGAAAAACTATTGTGATGATTTGAGGCTCTGGCTCTGGGTGACAGTTTCCTCCTCTGGGGGGGAATCTATCAGTCCAGTTGCACTAGCAGTCCCAGGTCACTGCAGAGAAGTTGAGAACTGAGATGAATCAAAACTGGGCTTCTTCCCTAGGAATGCCATCTGCTCCCACTTCACCCCTGCTTCTCGTGTGTGTGGGCCTTCGAGGTTTTGCTCAGAGCAAGGTTTATTTACTAGGCCTTTACCCCATGAGGACCCTGGCTGCAGCCTGTCCCCCAGCAGCTCTGCTCAGCTCTTGGCTTAGTCCTCACAGAATTGGCAAGTGCCTTTTGGGGAAGCAGACTTAGGTTCTTTGGGCTGTACTTCTCTCTTGGGTCTCAGGCCTCCTATTCCTGGCTGCCTGATGTCTTAAAACAGATGTACTTTATGTTTCTATCTGACCTTCCTTGGCTTACTTTTTAAGTGCATTCTCTCTCTGTCTCTCTCTCTGTCTGTCTGTCTCTCTTTTTTTTTTCTTGGTATCTCTAAGCTCTAAACACCAATGTTATTCAACTGGGACTGCATCCAAAGACATTGATGCAGTCACCTTGTGGGTAATCCCAGTGTGCAGTTGGGGTTGAGGATGTTGGTTACTCTCTCTCCTTGGGCGTTGGCATTTCCTCCAGGTCCTGATTCTATATCCCACTTGCTGATGACTCTCAAATTTGGATCTCTAGTCCTGAACACTCTGTTAACATCTGGATTTGTATTTGCAGTGTGTGTGTGTGTGTGTGTGTGTGTGTGTGTGTGTGTGTGTGTCTGTGAGTGTGCATATAAGTATATGCATGTGTGCATGGAGAGAGGATCTCGGTGTTCATGTTCATAGTGCAAATCTCCGTGGTTAACACTGAGTTAGTTCTCTCTTGTTCTGATTCTATCCCTACCTTTTTTTCCATTTGTCTCATCTGTCTCATTTGATCTGAAATGTCTTAAGTACTTTACTTTCCTTGTCTTGGCTTAGGCTGTCATCCTTTTTTGGGGTGACTCTTGGCAAAAGGCTCCAAAGTTATTTTCTTTGTTTCTAGTTTCTTCTTCTGTCTCTATCCATTGCACTGATAGTGAGTTACGCCTTAAATGATGATCATTTATTCCCTGGACCACCTAAAGATGCCGTGTAACTGCTGGAGGCACACATGAGGCTGGTTAATCTGGCTCCTGTTTGCGTCCCAGGCTTATGTGGCTGTGTGGAAGCTGGACTGAACCCCGGCAGTGTTAGCTGCCCTCCTCTTACCTAAACGAGTAGATGGGCCAGGCTTTTCCCTTCCCTTATTAAAACAACAGGGGCGCTGAATATTTGTGGCTCACTCTTTAGGAAGGAGTTTCCTTTTCTCCTTGCCAGTTGATACTTTTATCTTTTTTTCTTCTTTTAATTTTTGTAAATGTGTATTTATTTTTTTTGAGAGAGAGATACAGTGTGAGCAGGGGAGGAGCAGAGAGAGAGGGAGACACAGAATGTGAAGCAGCTCCAGGCTCTGGACTGTCAGCACAGAGCCTGATTCAGGGCTCGAACTCACCGCGAGATCATGACCTGAGTTGAAGTTGGAAGCTTCACCGACTAAGCCATCCAGGCGTCCCAAGAGTCATATATTTTCATTCTAAGTGTGTTTATGGCAGTTATCTTGTTAGTGAGGTGAACAAATAAAATATGAGGGCTGAAAGAAAGCTGTTGCTTCTATGAAAACTAAGTTGGATGCTGAATTGGTTTTCTCTTGCTGTATAACAAGTCACTGGCCACAAATTTAGCACCTTAAAACAACTCATGTTTATTCTCTCTCTGAGTTTCTGTGGGTTAGGAGTCTGGCCACAGCTTAGTTGGGCCCTCTGCTTTGGGTCTAATAGGCTGCATGAAATCAGGGTGTGGGCCATGGTGTGCTCTCATTGGTGTCCTCTTTGTCAGAATTTAGTTCGTTGCAGTTGGGGGACTGAGTCATGGGCTCCTAGATGCTGCCCGTCTGCATGGCAGCTCATGGCAGTTTGCCTCTTCATGGCTGTAGAGAATGTCTCTTCTGGATGGCCCCACACTCTTCAGGGCTTACACCTGATCAAGTAGGGCCTCTAGGGTAATCTTCTTTTTTATTAACTAGAAATCAACAGTTGTGGGACTTTAATTATATGTGAGAAGTTCCTTCATGTTTGCCATAGATGGAAACAAAACCTGGTCACAGGTGTGATGTCCCATCTTATTCATGGGTACCCACCCAAACTCAGAGGGGATTACACAGGGTATGTATGTACTAGGGGAAGAGGATCTTGAGGGCTTAGACTTTTGCTTACCACACATGCTTTGGGTAAAAGTGAGATGCTGAAAATATTATTTATACAGGTTAGGTAAAAGAGAACTCTAAAGGATTGGGGAAAAGGTCTTGAAAATCTGGAAGAATTCTAATCTGAGATTGCTCACAAAGTGCCCTTTAATTCTTGCTCCATTTAAAGAATTGGAGACTGGAAATAGTGGATGCTTCATGAGGGTGGTGCATGCTGGAATGATGACAAGGAATGAGTTAGTGGACTTGTAAAAAAAAAAAAAGGTTCTGGAATGTTTTTTTTAAAGATAAACAGGGGACGCCTGGGTGGCTCAGTCAGTTAAGCATCTGACTTCAGCTCAGGTCCTGATCTCACAGCTTGTGAATTGGAGCCCTGCATCAGTCTCTGTGCTGACAGCTTGGAGCTTGGGGCCTGCTTCAGAGTCTGTGTCTCCCTCTCTCTCTCCCTGCCCCTACCCTGCTCACACTGTCTCTCTCTCTCAAAAAATAAATAAACATTAAAAATAATAATAATAAAAAAAGATGGCCAAACAGATGTGTCTGTTTTAGTGTAAAGTGTCTTGTGTGTATGATATGAGGGCTTCTGTTTTCAATGGGTGCCTTCTCTGGGTGTCCACCCCTGTCCCTCATTGGCTGCTTGCTCTGGGAAGCCTTTTCTGACTCCTAAGTACTGACAAGTGAGAGTTATTTTTGTTTTTTTTCTTTGAATATTACCATGGACTCGTGTTTTTATTTACTTTTGCAGTCCACTGCAGTTATGTATTTTGATGCTCAAAATTGTTTTAAATTTGGTCAGTGGATTCCCCATAAGTCCTTAACCAGCTTTTTTGGTGCAAACACAAAATATTCCAGGCTCATCTTGTTGCCCTGACCCTTGAATTTTTCCTAAGAGCCCAGATTTTGTTCAGTGGGAAGTGAGATTTAAAAACTGATACGTGGGTGCTGGGAGTACTTATTGCTCTCAGAGTATCATTGATTCTAGGTCCTTTCCAAAACGAAGCACATATATTCAAATATAAATTCATATTGAGATTTCCAGTTCAGTTTGTTCTTAAAAATGTCCTTGATTTTATTTCTTTTATACTTAAAACATTCATATCTAGTAACACTAACATAACTGCTGTAAACATGTTTTATTATGTTAACACTGCTGTATCATACAATATATATGAGGTAGTTTTAAGATTTTAATTAAAGTCAATATTATGATTATTGATAAGACCAATGAGTAAAGTTTAAGATATTTTTTCCCTTAGAGTGTATTTGACTAATGATGTATAATTGAAAAGGCCCCTGAGATGCTTTTCTTTGTGATAAACGTAGGTTAATTTGCTTGTTACCAGTTGTAGATTTTGCCTTTTTATGTTGAATTTTAATTTTTGAAGATCAAAATCATTGCTCTGTTTTAGAAGTAAAAATATATAAAGTTTATTCAAAATCTTTCATTCATCTCTACTGCCCATGTTCCTCTCCTTGTCTCCCTGTAGATAATTATTATTATTTGTTTCTGGTTTATCTTTCCAGAGTGCGTATGTATGTGTCTTTTTTCTTGTGTCTTATGCAAAAGTTAGCATGGTATGTATACTGTTATGCACTGTGCCTTTTTCACTTAACTATATTTTTTGGGATGATTTTTATTAAATGTTGATGATTGAATAAAAAAGAGGAAATGAAAATTTTTAAAAAATCATCTAATTCTTTAAGAATTGCATTGTGAGTATGATCATTCTGTAAGTTTATTATTTATCGTTACCAGCTTGCTTTCACACGAGATGGGCTCTGTGGCCTGTGGAATGAAATGGTTAAAGATGGAGAAATTGTATATACTGGGACAGAATTAAACCAGAATGGAGAGCTTCCTTCTAGAAAAGGTAAGGACCTTTCACTAGTAGTTTTCATTTTGTAAAGACCTTTATAAATTGTAGTTTATAGAAATTTTGGAATGTGCAATGGGAATATGAGTACCTGAACATAACTCTGAAATTTTGTTTTCTCTTTGGTGATTGTTGTCTAAATTACAGTTAATTATGAGCTACCTGGATTTCATTGTTCTTTGTAAATGAAGGTCTTTTCATTGCAAAGCTACCTTGCTCTGCTGTCCTTCCCCGGTTAATATTTCTTCTTTTAAGTTTTACAATATATCTTGCCTTGTCAAACTATAAATAGTAATTATTATAAGAGTGAGGAGATACAATTACTCCTGAAATTTTTCCTATCTGACTCTTCTATGGGAATATATAAAATACTTTTTGTAAGCCTTTGGCCTGTGGACTGGACTTGGCCCCTTATTTCATTGTATCTTGTATTTTTTGCAGAGAAATACCAGCAAACACTTGTTTAGGCCTGTTGTTATGAAAAGTCAACAAGACTCCGTAATTTAGTTGTTCTCGACCTTGGCTATGGCTCAGAAACTTTTGAGTCTTTAAAAAGAAATAGATGCCTGTACCCACCCCAGACCTGTAGAATCTCAAAAACCCACTTGAGATCTACTGCTAAAGTTGCTGAAGTTTTTTAGTCCCATTATTTGAAAGCCATCAAGATGGATAAAAATATTACTTTGGAAAGTAGTTCTTACCCTCTTTGTAGAATGAATTGAGATAGTGTCCATTTGAAAATACACTGGAAAACATTGGTATATTTTTTTGGTTACAACAGCTAGAATTTTCTTTTTTTCCTGGCATTTCATTGTGAAAATTTCCATACACCCAGAACAACTGACATATCTACATAGTGAGCAGTTGCAAACCCCACAGATCCTACCACAAGTGTTTCTCTTTACTTGTTTATCTCAGGGGTCTGTGGATCTCCATTCTTCTGTTCATTGGTGCATCTTACCTGACTCCCTTACTTCATGCATATCATTTACTTGATTGAGTTCAGTTTAGCTTTTTCTTTCAGTAAAATATATGCATAATGAAATGCATATGTTTTATTATTCCACAAGTTTTGACACATGTAACTTGTGTAATCTAAACCTCTCTCAACATTACTTCCCACTTAGAAAATTCCCTTGTGCCCCTTCCTGGCCCCTCCCAGACCCCACTTTCTAGATGCAGACATGGGTCTGATCTTTCTTTCTGTTGATTAGTTTTGCCTGTTCTAGAACTTCATGTAAATGGAATGATGTAGTAGTTTGTTCTTTTGTGTCTGTCCTCTTTCACTCTGTAATTTATTAATAGTTTCAGTGGTTCATTACGTTTAAAAAAAAGTTTCCCATCTCTTCTTCCCACCCCTCCAGTATTTGTTAATGAATTAAACAATATTTCCCCCAATTTTTTTTTATGAAACACTCATTCTAAAAGATGCTCTGGAAAAACTATTTACTTGGAAAAATTCAAAGTATATTTCTGATTATATTTGATGAATATGTTTTCTTCTTTTGAAAGTCATATGGTTAGAAAGCAAAGCATATTTTTTTTTTAATGTAGGTCCCAATTGAATAGTTTTTTGGGGGATCATTTTTTTGGTATTCAGTAAAAGTTTCTATTTTAGGTGTGGCCTGATGTGTGCTTTTTATTGTTAGAAAATACTTTTTTCACGGATAGGTTTATATCTATACCAAATTCCATTTAGAAGACTATGTATGGGGCACCTGGGTGGCTCAGTCGGTTGAGCGTCTGACTTCGGCTCAGGTCATGATCTCGCGGTCTGTGGGTTTGAGCCCTGCATCGGGCTCTGTGCTGGCAGCTCAGAGCCTGGAGCCTGCTTTCGATTCTGTGTCTCCCTCTCTCTCTACCCCTCCCCTGCTCATGCTCTGTCTCTTTCTCTGTCAAAAATAAATAAACATTAAAAAAATTGAAAAAAAAAAAAGACTATGTATGTTGATGGTATTGTAGCTGATTATGAGGAAAATACAGATTAGAGTAGAAGTTCTTTAGATACACAGTATTCCTTGTTGTATTTTCAAAGATTACTTTCTTTGGGAAAGGATCAGTTTCTTTGTTCCACAAACAGCCATGCTAGGATAGGTTTTTATTGTTGTCAGGTTTGATTCTTTCATGGCTTATTTCTGGGAAATAGTGGCTTCTAATAATTTCTATTTTCCCTGGAATAAACTTTATTACTTTCTTTTGCAATCAGATGTAGAACTTGCTAGTCCTACTGTTGAGGAAAGAAAGCTGCCTCCCATATAGTACAATTTTTTTGTTAATTTTTGGGGATATTCCCCCACAAAAGACAGGCTGGATTATGGTCTCATACTTTTTCAAGTGAATGTTTCTAATTAACACCCTATGTGGGGTTGTTTGTATTTATTATTTTGAGGGAAAGTAGAGGAGGGAATAGGATATTAAAACAAGAAAGTTAAGAGGCTACTAAAAGATATGCTAAGCTTATTTTTTATATTTGCTTAGGGCTGGCCTTGTATGAAGAATTTAAGCATGAGCTCTTTAATTTATTGTAAACCTTTTTCGTCTATGCAGGTAGTAGAAATATTAACCAGTACTTTGCTTAGCTGCTATATTTTTTCTTGAAAGTATTTTCTCATTATTTCCTTTTATCTTCAACTTTACCAACAAACGGAAGCCACAGTTTGCACAAATAACAGGGGAAGAGCTGGAAATTGAAGCGAGGCCTCTTGAGAAAGTTTCGCTATTTCTTTTATACTACAGATATTATTTATTGACACCAGGATCAACTGCTTGTAGTTCCATGGAGCTGATGAGTTCATGTTGTGTATAAGTGTGATAATTGTTTTGAGTGTGTGTATGTGGGTGTCTAGTCAGTACTCTTTATGTGTTTTTAAGAGCTCAGAGATTATTTACTTGAACATGAATGTTTCCATTATATCCTATGCTGATTGGCAGCTTTCCTGCTGTTTTATAACTTTTCTTTGGAGTTGTAAAACATTAAATGTGGGCCTTCTCCCACAATAATTCATGATTATTTGGGCAAAAAAAGGGTGTGAGCAGTTCAGGGGTAGTGTTGGCTGAAGTTTGAGCAACAGTTATGGAGACCTGGTCTGGGTTTGAGGGATGGTGGTATGTGAGGTTATGTAGGAGAAGTGGGCACTGGTCTCCAGGTGGAGGACTGTGGAAGGCAGGACTGGCAGTGGATGTGCAGGGGCGACAGGGAGCAGTGAGCAGGAAGCAGCAGAAGTGTGTTGTGCCAGACTGTAGTGAAATGTACTCTTTTAGGTGCCCTGCTGCATCTAAGTACTGGGAAGTATGCTTGTTGATGCAGTGGACACATTCCCTGGGTGACATGTTTATACTTTGAAGTTTGAAAGCCACTGCACAGAGGGCCATGAATATTAGGAAAATTAAAGAAGACTCTGTCCTCCTGCGGTGGGAACTCAAAGAATTAAATCCTGATTCCCTAGCCCAAGGAGTCTCAACCTCTGTTGCTCATTAGAATAACCTGGAGGGCTTGGTTAGACACCCATGGCTGGCCCTTCCTCCAGAGTCTCGAATTTCTTAGAGTTGGGATGGGGCCTGGGAATTTGCATTGCTAACATGTTTCCAAAGTCCCAAGGATGATGCTTGCTTTTCAAAGAGTATGTCATGTTTGCTTTTAAGGCACAGTCTATTGCTTTGGGAGTTAGAGACGCAGAGGTAAGGAAAAGAACCTCCTCACGTGCTGCTTAGGAAATAAGAATATTAAAGAAAACCAACCATATTCCAAAGCAAATGACCACAATTAGATTTCCCTCATAAACTTATTCTGTTCTCCATAATTAGTTCTTGTTGCTTTGGATCTCGAGTCCTTTATGGAAAGCGTAACCCACCTCTGGGAGTCTGCCTGGTGTCTACTGGCAGGGGTGATGTCAGCTTCTGCTGGAGTCTGTTCCCTACAGGATTAGTAGTTCCACTGAGGCTCTGTGTTCTTGTTTATTGAAGAACCATTTCTGGCCTTCACCTTTGGAAGGAAGCAGATAAGACATAAAGCTCTGGTTAATTGATTATACTTAGCAACAGTATCAGAATGGACAGGAGTAAAATTCTTGGTGTGATGGGCTTCGTGGCTGTGTGTGAGGATTTGTTTGTTGTCCACCCTGGGGGTTAGAACATAGCAAGGGCAGCGAGGCATGGATGCCTCTAGGGTCTCTCACTGTCCTGGGAACTACAGAGTGTTTGTTCATATAACATGCTACTTGTATGAAATTAGGCACCTTAATTTTCTCTTTTTGATTTGCTAGCTCTTCCCATATTGTGGGCCTAGAGCACAGGGAAACTCTAATGATAGTAGTGAGCTAATAAAGAAATAAGGAACATCCCAACTCTACTTAATTTTATGTTCGGCCTTCCTTTTGCTTGTGAGCATTTCATCATGAATTCTGTGATGTGGGAGCCCATGTTTGTTATTCTGGTCATCTGGAAAGTGCCAAAGACCATTGGGATGTAAAAACACCTTGACAATTTTTAGTTCAGAATTTTGAGTCTGATCCTGCGAAGATGGTATCAAACAGTTTCCACAGGAATCTGACCTGGGCTCTAGAGGGGAATGTCTATGCTCTGACTTTTCCCAGCTGGCATGGAGAAGTGGTTACAGAGAGGAGACCCAGTCTAGTAGTAAAGGGCTCACACCTTTGTTTCTTGATCAACTTGGTAAATTCTGACACATTTTTATAGATTTTGTAAACCAAGGCAGATAATATGTGAATTTGAATTCTATGTGGAAAAGTGCTACTTATTTAGTAGTAGAGATTTTTTTCTTTGGGACAACCAATACAAAACAAAGGGGTAGCAGAAAGCAAACATATGAAGAAAATGTAATAGGGTGGTTCAAGAAGCTTCCAGGGAGGGTCCCTGAGATCAGGTGCCAAGGCCTTATGCCTTGTTCACATCCCCTCACCCTGCTATGCCTTCACATTTACATTCCTCACCCTGCCTGTAACAACTCTATAATGGCTATGACCCGTGGGGACAAGCTC